ATTTTGGGAGTATTATATTATACTATTTTGAATTTAATGCTAAATGTAAGGGTGTGTTTGGATTTCAATTGAAAAAAATAATTATTAAAATGTGATGATGTTTAGATAAATTTTCAGAAATTGATTATGGTAAAGTTGATGGTGTTTGAATAATTTTTTCAAAATCAATTTTGAGTGGGTAATTCTGCTATTCAAAGTGACAAGCTATTGATGTTCAGAATTGATTTTTTAAAATGAAACAAATTTTAGCTTATCTCAAATGAAGTATAATGGAGTTTGAGAAAATTAGGGTGTTTGAATAAATTTTTTAAAACCATAGTTTTAAACCTATAATTGATTCTAAAGGGTATTCAAACAGGCCCTAAATATACGTTTACCATATTTTGGCTTTAATTTTTGCAAAGTAGATACTTTATTGCATATTTATTTTATATATGCGTATATCTAAACCTAAATATGATGCTTATAGCTTGATCTGCAGATAATTGTTAGGGATTAATTCATTAATCTGTAGAGAGCCAAAGGATACATTTTACCGCAATATATTTTAGTGTGAACTAAAATAATAAATTAGAGTAGCCTCAATAGACTCGAGAAACCCAAAATGAACAGTGTTTATTATTATAACCTGAGAACAATTCGCGCGGCTCTTTAAATTTTTTGATATAAATTTATGTTGATAATGATATGCTGATTTAGCTTTGTAAATTATTGAATCTGATTTTAATGAAACTTCGTTGGGAATTATGACATAAAAAAAGTAAAAATAGATGTTCTCACCTTAAAAAAAAAATACAAGATTAAATTAACTTTTAGTGCCGTGGATTTTTTTAATTATTGAATAAATCCCTAAATGACTCAAAATAATTTAGGCTTTATAATTTATTAAATTACAGGAATTATATGTGTAATTACTAAGCTGTTTCAAGTCCAGAAATTATAGGGATTAATTTGTTTAGAGTTAAAAAAAACTAAAATTATCCTTGTTTAAGCGAAATTCTGATATTGCCAGAGGAGAATTAGAATGGGGTGGCTTGTATAACTGGAATTCTTATCCATTGCAGATATGGTGGATCCAAATGATTCATACACGCAAATCATGGTAGGAAGCACGCAGCACCATGTGAGAGAAATTACATAAAGTTTCAGTTAGAAAAAGATTACTGTGTTCATTTCTGGCGACAACAACCAATAGCATTGCGAAGAATAGTGTAAAAATAATCGATTTTTAATTTCTGCATGGGCATTTCTGTCAATAGATACGTAAGGCTAAACGTAATCAATAGATACGTAAGGCTAAACGTAAACGAGCAACGTTATTGGATTCAGGTATTCAGTATATACATCTGAATAGGCAGCTACTTTACTTCCGCGCGTTTCTCTGCGTCTTGACCTTCTCATCATCTTTGATGTATATGACTCAGACTCAAGAACAGAAGCGCACAGGATCAGCTTCTTCACTCTGTGACTAAAGAAATTCACGATGATATAGCTAGGTAATTACGTATATATGTTTCGCGTTTAATTGTTGATTTTCGGACATCAGAACCTTCAAATATAACTTGATCGAATTGGAAGGGAGGGAGGAAAATGCTTGGGGCTGCCTGATCTGGGTGACGCTTTCTTGATTTTGCAGGTTTTGCATTATGGTACAGTTCTTAAAATAGCTGATTCAACCGATCTCGTTCTTCTCTTTTGGAAGACAAATGTTGATATATCTTTGCCACCTTTTTATTCAAAGTACTTAATACCCTTGCTTCAAATGACTTCAGTTTGACGAGACAATAAAAGTCCTGACACCCATTTCTTGGCACAAAAATCTGTTGAATATAACCTAATATTCATCCATCTCACTTCTCCTCAACAGTTTACGATATTAAAACTGTAGAAATCGGGGGTTAAGTTTAGTTTGACTATCATAATATGATCCTCGATAATTCATTCTCCTTTTGATCCATTAACTATGTACATATATACTGAAACCATTTTGTGACAATATCGTCGGTAAATAGAAAATTAATTAATTCTCATGTCCGCGCAGGATTTGTGAGCTCTTTATCTGTTAAGTAAATGCTCGAGACGATTGAAGGATGTTTCCCAATTATGACAATGTTTCAGTTTCTGATTGTGCCCAAATTAATAAGGACAATCCCTCAAGATTTCAGGGCGCACTAGAGTATATAGCACCACTCTTATCCTTGTATTCATATATGTATGTATGTATGTACGTACGTCTATTCCTAATATATTTTTCTCCTGAAATCTCCAACATATGGCTTGTATACAATTATATTTGGTTTTTTCCCCCGTCATCTTAAACTCAGGATTACCAATGCACCATTCTACCTATGTCTTGTTCGTGGGGTTGATAAAGCAACAAACGAGGAGAAACCACGTAATGTTTTCTCCCACGCTTTAATTTCATTATTTCACTGTACTGGCCACTTCATGAATCCTCCTTCATAGGTTCAAACTTCTTATAATTGAACCGTATTTAACTAATTACCCCTTTCGATGTATCTTGCAGTATATCTTGGTGAGTGAAACAACTTCCAGCTGTTGTCAATAAAACGGGAAGTGTACTCATAATTCAACTTGACAAGTGTGTTTTTCTTAATTGGAATATCTTTCAATTGAGTGCTATTAATATTATAGTACTTTTGATTTTCTCTGGTTGTTCATTCAACTGCGATAAATAGCAGTCGTGTCATGCGCATGGTTGTTCTTCTTATTAACTCGCTCCTTTGCTAAATTCTCTTTTAGATCCGATCAATGGTTTAATTTTAATTGATGAAAACATGAAAAGAAAGAGTGTGCGGCCAGAGCTCAAGACTTGGTGGCTTTGAAATTTGGTGGACCATTTATGAAAACAAATTTTCCAGTACGCTGCGATATATATCATAATCATGTGTCGTATTTATGTCTGTTTTGTTTTGTTAGTGATACAAGGAATGTAGAGGACGTAACATCTATTTAAAATATTGAAGAGGGATACACAAACTTTCGTATTTCTTGAAGTACCCAGCGATGAGCTTAAATTATTTTATGAGAGATATATTAATTCGTAACATCTAGTAATGACCACACACACACACACACTCTCATTGATAATGATGTGCTCTGGTTGTGCAGACTGTAGTCTTAATGTTGCGTTTTGTTTTCAGATAAGAGAATACGAGGGGGCGTCGGAGGTTATGGCTGACATGACACAAACTGAGGTTGCAGCAACCATGAGGAGGTTTCCCCGAGATGCACTTGAAACTCAGAACATAGAGTTATATAATAGTGTATCTATTTAAACACTTGAACGAACATTAAACCACTCACATTGTCTCCCATGTACAGGTTAAGCAACTTTTTTGTGAGGGCCAAGTCAAGATATCGCGGAGTCATCAGGTATTAAGCAACAATAATAGCATTCTCTCTCTCTCTCTCCTCTCTCACACGCACACTCACGCGTACGTTCTGATGGATGAAATGCAGACATGCATATACTGGGAAATGGCAGGCGGGGATAGCGGGGGAGGAAGACGGAAACAGTTTCTTTAAAACATTCGGTGAAGTGATTAAATAGCTTAATTTAATAATTTGTGTTAAAGAATCTCTTGGGCTTAATTAACAAGAGGGTTGTTGAGTTTGAGCGAACAGAGACGGAGGAGGAGGCGGCGAGGGCTTATGTTGTAGGGAGCATGAGGAAGAATGGGCGGAGGGCCGTCACGAATTTCGGAATGAGGTGTTACAACGTGGAGGCCATATCGAGGGGCGAAACAGACCGACGGGTAATTTACGTGTCAAATGAGGGGGAGGAGGGTGAGGGAAGCTCCTCAGAAGGCTTGGGATTTCGACATGAACCCAAGCGACACAAGAGGAGCAACGCTTGAGTTTGCTTTTGGTGCTCTACATTGTGGCCCTCGCATGCTTTTTCATAGACGGATATTTTCTTTCACATGAACGACTGTGTTCGTAATTTTCAACTCCAGTTCGTTAGTTTAGTGGTTTCTAATTGGGGTCGAGCATGCACGTTTTCACTTTAATTCATCAATTCGTGTCTCACATGCACTCATGCTGTGAGTCGCACGCACCAAACAGAAAGCACCAGAAAACGAGCGAGCTTAAGAAGTGCCCAACTAACTTATTCATGTATGCACCATATTCCTCCGTCTTTATTTCCAGAGTAAAGCTATACTCCTAGACATTATATGTCCACTGCAACACTGCATTAGCTCTCCATTTTAGTCACCTTCCTTCAAATTAATTTCTCTCCCCTCTTTATGTTTTTATGATTATATATATATATATAATAAAACTAATACTTAATGTAATATATTAATAAAGAATCGGATATCTAACTTGTTATAATAAATAAATAAAAAAGAATGCACGGCTAAATCTAATTCTTAAAGATATTCTCTCTCTCTCTCTCTCTCTCTCTCTCTCTCTCTCTCTTTATGGTATAAAGAATTAGTCAATTACACTTATCGTAGCATTCCCGAAAAATTAACACCCATTAGAGAAGCCGACTAGAGAGATAGCTGGTGTGGGGGCTAACAGACGGATTGGAAATGTGGTGGTCAATGAATGGGGTCATAGTCCCTAAATTAAAGTTGGGGGAGAAATCAAATGAAAAGAAAGATGGACTATAGATTGACTTCATTTGATGAAGCGGAAGAGCGAGTGACAAAGGAAAATAAAAGCACATTCTGTAGAGAAAGCAATAGATGAAGCAACTCGGATTTCAACATGGAGGAACTGCCCATACTCCGGAGCTCCAGCAGCCACTGCTCATGGCAGATTCAGCCCCTGATGAACTGCCCCCCAAACTGCAGTTAATTAGCTAAATTCTGTATTTGTGCTTATAATTCCCGGGATCCTCACGACAATAAAATGCAGAAAAATACCAGTGCCATAACCGAATCACATTCACCACAGACAGAATAAGCTTATGCACAAATTAGAATAGCTTCATCAGGCAACTCTTCAAGATCAAGTAATCATCCAAGTTCACAAAGCAACGAGCTCCCTTGATAATTGAGTAACAGTTCGTTCCATAATTTTACAACCCAAATCAATCATCGGCTCATAAATCACTTGACCCAATGAACCCCCTCCCCGGGGAGCGTAGTTAGGTATGCATAGTAATACTTTATCTTTTAATATAACAATAAGAATAGATTACCAGTTCTTATTCCTCTGTGATCGAGGAAAATCCAGGTTGCCGCCTGACTTGGCAAATAGAAGACAGGGAAACCCAGCTCAATGTTGAGGCTGCTCAATTCTCTACTTAATTACTGCTAATACTCTTCTTCATATATACACTACTGTCTACTGCCACTGCCAGCTGCTTCCTTCACATCTCCATCTTCAAATGATTTGGCTGCAGAGAGGCTGCATCGCAATTTAATCAAACTTGATTTTAGTTTCACATTTTCCCTTCTTAGGTCTATTCTTTACATGTTTCCTTAAAATGAACATCTCTGTAAGTCAATATTTGGCGTTTGTAAATTTATTCCAGTCAAGCAAATTATACCTTTTAGATAAAGACTAAAGAAGGGGAGCTCAATTTAATTATTTATTTTGATACCAACGCCTTTCTAAGGTTCTTTTTCTATTTCAGTAAAGACAAAACAATTCCAACCGCAACTAGAGAAGAAGACTCCATATATGTGCCTAAAATATAAAATGAGACACACTATTCATAACTGGTGAATAAGTACATCTCCTTGTGATTTCTATACTCCATTCATTCAGTACTATAAGGCATTTTCTGAAATATCATATTAAAAAATATAAAACATTTTAGGCCTTTCAGTACAGTTTTTCCAACAATACCCTTAATTAGAGATCTAATTAATAAGGTTTTCTAATTAAGATAACCTACTAAATAAAGTTAAAGATAAAACGTAATTTTAAATGTCATTGACTAACTCATTGAGTGTAAATTAGTTAAAAGTGCCTTTAATACCAAATGGAGAGAGTACTTAATATGATTATCCATTGAATCCTAGGTCAATGGGAGCAAGAACCATGACAGACTGCAAGTGGAACTTGTCTTCTGAGAGGAGACATATTCTGACAAACCTGAATTTGCCAACGAGTCATAACTCAAGAGAGAGTATTCTGGGGTCATGAAATTCCGGTTCTCTTCTTCCCTTCCCCAAATCGGTTGGGTGAATGCATCCAATTGCCACTGTTGTTGATATTGCTGTCTATTTCCGTTGTCTGGAACTTCCTTCCACACTGGCTCTGTAACCATGTCGGGGAAGTTGCAGTCCACTCGAGATGCACCCTACAAGTAGAAGGGAGAACATCACACACTCAATCTCAACTCCACATTCGAATTTCCTCCGCGCTCGAATTAGAGATTGAAGCTCAGGGACTTCAGTAAAAAATAACAGATTCGGGCAATCAATTGCATGTGTTTATCTGCCCTGCTTATTTCTACTTCCCATGAGATGGCATGACATCTGACAGAATGTCTTAACTGACTACAAAGTACAAACCATGCTTATTTCAAGTTCACTATTTAAGTTTTTGGGCAAGGAAATGTAAAATAGATAAATAGATAGATTCAAAAAGGGCAATGGTAACACTTTCACAAGTCAACACGACTAGTGAATGCGCAAAGTGGAGCACTTGAGAAAGGAATATATTCCAGTCATATCAGGATTACAAGATTTTGCATCCCAATCTATCAATTTTAAATCGCATAGATTTACTTGTCGCTGACACCAGAGTGATGAGAATATCATCCCACAAACATGCATTCAGAACCAAATCTGAAGAGTTCAGAGAGCTCCCAAGCCACAAACAAATGCAAAGCTTACATATTGCTGCGATTCATGAAAGAAAATGGAAATTCTGTAATGAAATCAAATTCAAATTACTTACTTCGGCGGCCAATATGCTGTCAAGGTCGAAATCAATTCTTGGGCTAACTGCTGCTAGTTTCATTGACAAGAACTGAAGCGAGAGCCCAATTAAATCACAAAAAGTTTCAGTTGGTGAAAGATAACTCAAATATAACTGTACTGTAGTTCAATTTAATTTGCCATTGATATGCTGAGGGAAATGAATTTAACAAGATATTGTTACTGTAAAACATATCAAAGAAATCCAGCCTCTTTTAGAAATTTATAAGCCACATCACATTTATATTCAGAATCGGATTAGCAACTGGGGCCTTTTCATGAATTTAAATCAATCCTTTAAATGTCTGGGATGCGAAAGTCCGACCTCCACTTGACGTTGAAGAGATTGAACATGGTTGATGATTTCATCCAGAACTAACGCTGTTCCTGAAATCTGTGTGGAGACTGTCATGTCAGATATCATGTGAGATGTGACGTTATAGAGCAGCTATATAGGGAAACTCTTGAACAACTATCTGCTAACTCGGACTAGCCAAAAAATTAAGATTATTCGGCTCAATATAAGCTTTGTGCGCAAATTCCCCAAACCAAAAAAAAAAAAAAAGGAGAGAGAGACTCGACATAAGCAAAGTCCAATTTATAAAACAGGGTTGGGTCTAGCTAAAAATGTTAGCTCCCCACAATATAATAAATTAAGATTTAAATTTTTATTAAAAAATATTCATATTTAATGCTTAGTTATATCTCGAATAAAATTATTCTTAATAAGAATATACATATGACTGATCAAAAAAAGGGAAAAAAAAAACTAGCTAATTTATGCAAAAGTGACAGAAAATTGTTCGAAGAAAAAACGGCTTCAAGCAGATTTTTTCCCTTGATCGAGAAAGATCTGCAGAGGAGAATTATTAAAACAGCAACATCATCAGAACAGGGACATGATAAATTTTCTTGCATCGCTGTCAAGCCCACCCATCCCCACAAATGCATTTATTTATCAACCTATTTTAGTCATACAGTTTAATATGCCTACCAAACTCACAAGGATGGTGATACCATCACCGTCACAGTATAGATTAAAATTTCACTCCCATGGAGAGCTCCTAGACACTCGTTTTCAACGCACCCCCCATACGTGACGTGTCTTCCAGTTATGGAAGCACAGTGCTTTTTTCTGTTCAACAAGCCGCGAGACTAAAGAGTGAAGACCGACAAGAAGAGAGATGCTCAAAATCCAGAACACCTATGACGTATGCTTTTTGTCCTGCATTAAGAAGGATCCGAAGGAATGACAGTTTGAGTGTTCTCTACCGGTTAATGGACGATCCATGTGAACCACAGTAATTATGTATAGATTATATAGAATTTGCTTCCATAAAATAGATGATTATTATCAGCCACTCTTCTCAACAAAAACAATTTAAATATACAGATCTAATGTAAAATAACAAAAAAAGACAAATTTCAATATAGAAAAATTACTAGTATGAAAATGAATAAGGGTTGAGGTTATTCTTGAAAGAAAAGAGTTTGCCCAGAGATGGTAAAATTACCGCAAATGTCATTGAAAATTGACTTTTGTTCGTGTGAACAATAAAACAAGATCCTGTCTCTACTTGCTTGGATAACAAATTTTATAGAAATTACACGAGTCCCATATACAAATTTTAATATAAATGGATGGTACCCTTTCTATAAATTTTACATCATATAGACATATAGATATTGAATGGATATGTGTAAAAACATATATTTGTTGTAATATCTATAAACAAAAAAAAAATCACACCAATGATAAACAAACTCCAGAGGATTTTTTTTTTAAAAACCAAAAAACTCAAGTGTTGAAGTCACGCGTCTTTCATTCCTTTTGGTAATTGTCCGTGTCGATTATTTCTTTTCCCCGGGGCCATCCGTTACTTTTCTTGATATAAAAGCAACCAATTTTTTTTAAGGGGAAAAAGGGATCATATCCTTTTTCGGTTTAAAAAAAAAAAAAAGGAACCACATTCAGACCACAATAACAACAGTACAAAAGCTTACCGTGGCTTCGTCGATTTTATTTTCAAATAACTTAAGTTAATAATTAATTTACAATCTAAAAAAATAATAATAAATTTCCAATTTTCACTCATTAAATACAAAATAACATAAGCCAATATTTAATAGATATGTGTGCGCGTATACATATCACCATCCTTGCTTATTTCGTTTAGTACAAAAAAAAAAAAGTAAATGGTTTGGCCGAAAATATTATAATTTTTTTTAAGTAGATCGGATACATAATATAATTTGTGATCTATTCAATAAAAATATAACATTTAAATTATATTAAATATAAATTAATTTTAACATTAATAATAGTAAAAAGAGAAAATATAAAAAATTAAAAGAATGAAATTAACTAAAATAATGTTAAATAAAATTTTATTTAAACGATTTAGAATAGATCACAAAAGAAATGATGTACTGATGTACCTAAATTTCTCAAGATACTAATTCATATTTATATTAAAAAAATATATAAGGGATAAATTAAAAGTTAATATGAAGTTAGACAAAAATTAATGAGAAGACACCTTAGTCAAAGAAAATTACTATATAATACAAGCCATAATTGCAATTGCAGATGATAATAAAACCGTCATAAATAAGTTCCAGTAACCAAAGCACATCGCGCCTACCTTATCGCAGCCGGGGACCAGCTCTTGTAAAAGCTTCATACGGGCGTTAATTTTCTCTCTCCTGGCCTGCACGATTGTTAATATGAAATTATAATTAATAATAGAAGCATTTGCACCGCCCGTTTGAACAGGTAATAAAATCGAATTTTTTGGGTCAAATTTGAATTTTTAATGAAAGTTATATAAACAGTAAAAAAATTAATAATTAATTATCAAATTAGAATTATATTTTAAAATAAACACTAAAATTTTTTTCATAGATTTGATTTTATCGTTAAATAATATATTTTACTTTTTAAATTAAATTAAATAATATTAAATATAATTTTATTAATAATTCAATTGTAAAAAATAATATTTTTATAATAATTTTAACAGTTAAAATCAATTTCAACATCCATACATATTACATTACAACATAATTAATTATAATTAAAATTAATTATATTTATCTGAAATTGAAACGGCCCTAGTAGTTAAACAATTGATTAGTGGTTAACAAGTTACCCTTTCTGCTAAGCTATGGCTGTCTGTAGCCTGACCGCGACGAGCTCGAACATGAATGTATGGAAGTTTCTCTCCGTCTCCGGATGTTTCTTCGGCGACGCTTCTACTCTTCTTCGAGGATTCTTTATCCTGTATTTTAAAGATTCGGTCATTGTTCCATGTTTCAAGCGCCAAATTCATCCAAATCATCGGAAACAGAAACCCTAACTCTTGCTTGATCACAATTCCATTTACAGATACCTTCTTCTCTCGTTCCTTCCTCTTTGCGGCCCTCTCGTTCTTGTTCTCAATCGGGGGGTTAGAGGCGATAATAGAGGTGGACTTCGGATTTGAATCGGTTTCCGGGGGTTCATGCTTCACTCTGTTTAAATTTGCTCGTGAACTAAGTGGAGCCAAGTTGGCCTCCTCCGGTGACGAGTTTTCTTCAGCAAATACGGAAAGCTTAGCGGAGCGTTCGATCAAAGCAGTGTTGGAAGGGAGTCTAAAGGTGTCACTGAAAGAATGAAATCTGTGGGGTTTCTGATCATTGATATGGCTCAAGGGTTCCCCGAAGGCGCGGATCACCGCGGCGGCTCTGTCAGAGTTGGGCGAGCGGAGGATCTCCTTGGCCTGCGCTGCGGGGAGTTCGAGAAGTGCAGTGAACGAGCTAAGATTTTCTGGGGCCGGGGCTATGATTCGCGCGATTTCCTCGTTGAATTGAACGGATTCAAGTGCGGCCCGATCGCGTTCACCAGTGAGACTGAACCCAGTGGAACCTCCTGTAGTTAGCTCCATCGAGTGGAAGTCGAAACAATCGATGATGATCCGATCAGTTATGAGAAATGGAAGCTAAGCCTTCGTAATTTCTGGAGTAACTGAAATACCCGGTTGATTAATTTTACCAGTTTTGAAGCATTATAACGTTAAACGAGAGAATAAGGTGGATTAAGCCGGAGGAGGTAAGGAAGAATGGAAGGCAATTGTAGGAGAAGACAGTGAAATGAGAATGGGAGAGGCGGGGAAGGAGGGAGTGTGTGTGTGTGTGTGTGTGTGGGGAATTTTGAGAATGGAAAGCGGTGAATCAATGGCGGTCAAGCCGGTGGAATTGGGGTGAGTCTTATCCTGGGTGGCTGGAACTGCTTGACAGCCATTTGAAGTATTGCGAAAGCAACGTGGGCAACGTTACGGCCTACGGGGAGGGTGGTGTGTTGAGTTGAAAGTCGAAACGGAACGGGACGAGTATTTTTGGTACTTGCGGACAAAAGCTGAGTTAGTGGAGGGAAGGAGAGTAACAAGCTTCGGGCGGTCCTAGCAATTCTGTTCGTCCATTGTTACCATGGTAAAACCGTCAGAGCAACCAAATCCGGGGACCACCGAATAAAGGCCCTTTTTTCGTTAGCCTTTTTTTCCCCAAAAAAAAAAAAACATGCTCCTATTACTAAAGGAAGAGAGAGAGAGAGAGGATAACAGTTAAGTTTCAGGATAAAAATTAGTAATACAAGTTAAGTTCAAACCATTTTTAAAATACTAACAAAGTTTTTTATCCTTGATGATAAGTCTAACCAAAATTTATAAAAATTTATAAGTTTAGCTTTCAATTTCACAATTTTATTATAATATATTTGTAATTTATTTTTAAATTTTTAACAAACAACACAAACATTCATCTTTAATCTTGAATAGTGTTAAGTCTAACAGTTTCATGAATTTACAATTTTGCTCCCTATTTTGTAATTTTATTATGATACATTTGCAATTTATTTTTCTAATTTTAATGGCAAATGTCAATGTCTGTCTTTAATATTAAAAAATATTTAGTCTAATAACTTTAGGGATTTACAAGTTAGGTTCTCAATTTTATAATTTCATTATGTTGAATTTGTAGCTTATTTTTTAGATTTTAACAAATAACACAAATGTTCATATTTAATGTTAAAAAATATTAAATCTATTATTTATTCTTTGCGTGTCACCTATTTGTCAATAAAATAAACAGATCACCTATTTCTTCATTGCCTATTATTTATTATTCAACGCTATTAAAATTTTAAAAATAAGTTACAAATGCATTATAATAAAATTATAAAATTAAGAGTTGAAATTATAATTTTTTAAAGATGTCTGACTTGTTATCACTAAAAAATCAAACGACTTTGTTGGCATTCTAAAATTGATTATAATTTAATTTAAATTAATTGATCATTTTAGAATTTAACTGTCATAGTTCTTCCTATAAAAAACGGTCACATATACCTTTTTATTTTTTTTATAAGTGAAATTATAAATTTCAAAAAATATTTATTACTTTTTTTAAAATTAATTTTTATAAAGCTCATCAACTCAAGACAAATTTATTCCATTAATTATTGAGATAATTTATTTTAAAATTTTAAATTTAAGACATGATTATTATATTTAGTCATTTTTCTTAAAAAATGTAAGAATTAGTTGTTTTTTTCTCATATTTGAAAACATACAGAGTAATTTTTTTTGGGTAATGACCTTTTTGTAATACACATATTATATATCTTTATTAATATGTGTGTACACACCAGTGTAAAATTGGAAATTTATTATGCAGTGAGATGACTTAAAATACGTGGTCTGTATGGAGAAGACAAACGGAGATTGACAAGGGAGAGATTTTTCTCATGTCCTTCAAATGTATTAATACAAATGGAATGTTATAGTTATAAATATAACATTACATGTTGGCAATACGATAACCAATATAGACGCACTTATATAAGAGGCAAAACTTAAAACCATTAAGAATATGGGGGGCAAAAATTAATTGTCACGTTTTTTTTTTTTTACAAAAAGAGTTGAAAAAAAAAAAGAAGCGAAAAAGTAGTGCTTTGTGGGAGAGCCAGTGGCCGGGGCACTTGTCACTGCTTGGATATCAAAAGTTTCTCATCCATATTGTTAAATGATGAGTAATGGATAATATATTAGTGATAAAATCCATAAATATGGGCGCGAAAATAGATTATAAGGAATGTACAGGTTACATGATTTGAAAAACAACGAGTGCGCATGGAAGATGGAGATCTACAAGCATCAGTATCCATAACTCATAAGAGATTAATCCCAGCTATCGATGCGTTTAATCCCAAGCTTTCTGCTTTAGTCTAATTTAGTGTAAAAGAAATCGCGCTGGATATGAGTTATGAATGTGACTCCTCTTTGTTCATCATTTCAGTTCTACCTGCAGGTGTGTGTAGAAATTAGTTCTACTCATGCATGATTTCTAAATTATATAATTTATTTTCAAATCAATATTAAATATGTATTATTTTGTCGTTATTATTATTTGAAAAGTTATAAGTATGTTACTGTCATTCGTGTTATTGATGGATATTTTACCGGTGCTTAATTCCTTTTGACATGATCTATGCATAGTTATTATAATTTTAATGTCTTGAAAACACATGTCATATAGATTTGATAAATAAATTTTATCTTGATGGTGGGAAGCCTACTTTAGAAATTTAGGATCAATATCAAGCAAGAGTAATTTGTGACCCAAGACCGTGTAGTTCAAAAGAAAAACTTACCAAACTACTCTCTCTGTCTTAAATTATAAAATATTTTTAGATAAAATTTTACATATCAATAACCCTCATTAAATACACCTTATAATTTTATTTTTTTAAAATAAAAATAATTTTTTTTAAATACCCATTATTTAATATTTTAGAATAAAAAACTCATTTAAAATATACTATAATTTGAGATGGAGGAAATACTGTAATATTGATGATATTTATGAAGTCATAAATGCTGGATGTTGAAAGAACACCGCAAAAAATTAGAGCAACAAAGATGAGGAATTGAGATGGACAATGGTTACAAAAAGGAAAAAGAAAATGATCCATAATACTTGCATGTGAAAAAAAAAAAAGGTTTAAAACATTCTTTCAACCAAGAAATGATAATTTAAGATGGCTTGAATACGTGCGAAGAAAATTATTGAAGTTCGTGGTGAAAGGAATTGCAAAGATGATATTTGTTCCTATAAAGATATTCCTTTTGATTTTATTTGAAAAACTTCTTATGGAAGTAATTTTTAAAATATTTCATAATAATTAAATTATTTTTTAATTTTATTTTAACATAAAAGTATTTAATATAATTATATTATTATTTAAAATTAATAAAAAAATAAAGCACACATCATTTTTAATCAAATAATTAAAAATAAGAAAAATAACATTAAAATTCTTTTAAATTATTTAAATGATATTTTAATCTTTTGAAACGTAATAATTCTCTTGAAGCTTCTAAAATTTTTTCTATCATTAAAAAATTAATATAAAAGATTAGACTGTCCTTAATTAAAATAAAAATCTCAAGCTTTAAAAGAAATGATTGCAAACTACTAGTGAATTCTTGTAATTTAAAAAAAAAGTTGTGAGTATTAAAATAAAATTTGTGAATGGCAATTGAGATTTATAGCACTTGCAATGCTTGAAAAATATTATGATTTCAAATATAAATTTACGAATTGTTTTTGAATTCTCACAAATTTAAGAAAGAAAGTTATGAATCTTATAATAAAACTTATAAATGACGATTGATATTTGTAATACATAAAGAATATCAAAATTTAAAATGTGAACTTTCCTATTTATGTTGAATTATTGTGAACTTAAGAAAAAAAATTATGAATCTTATAACAAAATTTATAAATATCGATTGATATTTGTAACACTTAAAAATATCAAAATTTTAAATGCAAACTTACCAATTTATATTGAATTATTGCGATTTTAAGAAAAAATTGTAAATTTTAAAATAAAACTTGTAAATTAAGGGTGCGGAATATCTATTCTAAAACTTGAGATTTTTATTTCAATCGAAGGCAATTTAATTTTTTATATTAATTTTTTAATGATAAAAAAATTTATTGAGACTTCAAAAAAATTATAACATTTTAGTGGACCAAAATGTTATTTATATAATTTAAATTTTTTTTTTGAAAGTGTTTACAATAAGAATCAGAGGGAGTATTTACATAAAGATGGAAGGCATATTTAACAAGTTAGTTAATTATTGATATACTATAATATAATTTAAAAATTATGTAACCGATTTAATTTACAACTAACATTCCTATATTTATATTAGTTCCAATTTATGTTTACGATTTTTTTATTTTTTTTAAATCCAGCTGTGTTTTAAGATGTAAATGTCATTTTCACTGATACGAAAGGCGTGTTTTTTAACTTGTTAGGACAGCGAAAGAAGCAACTAGGTTCAAAGTCGACTAACTACCACCGAAAAGCAACCATGAATATTCAAAAGTCTAAAAATTATGGGACCGATATTTTCGGTTTCCCTTTTTTTTTTTTACCAATTACTCTTCCTATCTCCCTCGCCTTTTTGATCTCGACTTTAATGATTGAAATTTAATATATCATAAATTTATTTCTATATTAAATATTATAATTTGATTTGAATAGCTCAGCAAATCATTTTTTCTTAATCTTGAGATATATTAAATCTCAACTATTGAAATAGATCTCGAAAAGATTGGGGAAGGAAAGCTGACTATTAGAACAAATTGACAAATTGCAAAAACCATTAGGACAATTTGGAAATTTTATACGTGTTTCACAGTTCGCAGAGTCATTCATTCCCCAAGTATACCCTATACCCTAAGAACTAACTTGGAGTTGGAAGACGAGTCCAATTCTTTTTCAAGAAAAAATTAGTGTTAACTCGAGCTAAATATCATATAAGACCCAAACTTTAATTTATTTTTATAAATTAAAATAATAAAATTAGAGAATAAGGAAAAAAAATGTGTCATGTGTGTTGAAACTCTCTAAACTCTGGAGTCTGAACAACTCAGGTCAAAAAAGAACAACGTTAAGCATAGACTTTTTCCCCGTCGAAAACAAATAAGAATAAAATAATATTATTGCCCCTCTCAGCTTTTGCCTTTACAGGTCAGGCCCACTTCACTGACCTCTTGGGCAAGTTACGATCTCTGTCTGATTCACATTTTCCTACTTTGATACGTTTTCCTATTTGGGCTGTGTGTATCCTTGGGCGCTGGTTTCTCCTTTCCTGCGTCCCAGCAATGTTAAGTAATGTTTTTTATTTTAAAAAATGGTGAAAGTTGAGTGTAACAGTGTTGTGTTGACCACGACAACACTGATGCTTTTGCCAGCAACATTCGTGCTTAAACCTTTTTTGAACACAGGGCATGGCCAAGGCCATGAAAATAAATCATCATTAGCTCATATTAGCAGATAATGAATCTCTGTACCCTACAGGTCAGTCGTTGATAATCTTAATGTTTAAATACTCTTGATGCACTCAGTCAACAAATTAGTGTGTACATTTATTTATTTATCTAAGCACATGATCAAAAGTCATGATTTAATCCTTTACGATTGGGTCTTTGATTTTCTTTTTTAAAAATGAAAAGAGGGTGTTCATTTTAGATTATATTTAAAGCGTTTCATGGAGTGAGTGTAAACATTGATCTTAGGGAATCTCTCACATTCCAGCAATGAGCGAGGCCTCTAAAATGTTTAAGATTGCTCACCATATGTCACAACTATTTTGATTATATGAATAATTAAATTAGAGTCAAGAATATGAGTTTGATTATGTGTGTGTGTGTGTGTTGGCCTGAATAATCGGTCACAAGTTTCATGTTAGTTTGAAAAATATGACCCAAATAAAAATAAGTTTTTTTTTTTACCCAGATCATATAACTTGTGAATTGTATGGGTTAACCTTAATGAATAAAGAGTGGCCCAATAACCTATATTAGTTGAAAAAAAAGAATAAAAGAAAAAATGAAAAATATGTTAGATTCATGCTTTTGATAAAATTGATTGGCATAATTAGCTAGCTTAATTCATATATTTTATACAAACATTATGAGTTAATATTTTAATATATTTAAAATGAATTACGAAAGAATATCATATTAAAACTCATTATCATATTTATTTAGGCGTGTTTTTTCAAAATAATTATAAAAAAATAAATTGAAAAAAATGAATTAGATTGGGGTTTTTTATATCCTATATGAAAATGTATTGAACCTAATTTAATCCATATTCTTTTAAACTTATATGAGTTAACTCATATAGTTTGAATTGGCTTATATTCCAACATCAAATCTCATCTAAGTAAGTTGAGATAGTAGCCATTTAGGCTATGATTGGTTCATGGGATGGGCGGGGTGGGAATAAGGAGGGAGTGACCAATCTTGGCGTTTGGTGCATACGAGTATCCATTCAAATACAATGGCTCACAAATGTGAGAGGTTGATTCTAGCTTGACTCAAGTTATTGACAATTATTCATGCTTAAACTAATACCATTGCTTCCGTGCAACTAAGGCCCGCCGCTTCTTAGAACCAAAAACCAAGGAAGGGAAGGTAAAGCTAAGGTGGAGAGCAGCTCGAAGCTAAAGAGCTGAAGCAAGGACCGTGTACCAGCCGACCATATTCCTGGCAAGTAATTATACATCATGTTGCTTCTGCGAAACTTGCTTTGCCATTTGCTATTTCTGTTGTTGATCTTCATCTGATTCTGGTCCTCCAACGCTTAAAAAAGAGTCCTACGAAAGAACGAGGGTTTGAATTTAGCACAGCATGATATTCTTCTGACGATCTGTGATTACTGATTACTGATTACTGATTATATGGCCCCACCCCTCATAACCCAAAGGATGGTGTCCTTTGCTATGAAATACTGCTTTAATCACATGCCATGCATTTCTACGCTTCTCTCTATGTTGATCTCTCTTTTACTTTCTCCCCAGTAGGATGCTTTCTTATCCCGCAAGGTGAAACAATGGACCATGAAAATCAAATGATAGATTTTACATTTTCATGTATGAATTCACCTTAGTCTAACCGCTCCTTATAAAGGATCCAAATTATATACCTGTTTTATAAATCAGGCTCTTATATGACAGTTCTACATGTAGGAGTATACGTGTTGTCAATTGAACCCGGCCCCACTTTTAAATATTCAAAACCACAGTCATTTTATTTTAAAGTCAACACTTTTACCAAGCTTGTCCTTTATTGACAGAACTCAAGACTGGATCATAAACCCACACAACTTTTTTTTAAAATTAAAATTTTTAATTATACTAATATATATATATATATATATATTACAAAATATTTAATTAAATATTAAAATATAAATATTCTTCACTCATTATTATCATCAATTTTATTTAAAAATAAAACATTAAACCCTTCAAAGGGAGGTTCATTTGGAGGAGGAGGTGCTGTTTCAACAACAACATCAACTTCATTTTTATCACTTAAAATAAACATTCAATAAATTATATTATTTTCATATATTAATTCAAAATTTTAAATAAATGATATAAATAAAGTTAAAAAAAAATATAAGTGCTTAAGGCTAGCCCAAATACAAGCTGTTAAAGTCAGGACTTGTGAGGGCAAATCATAAAAAACATTTATACTGAAATTTTTATTTTTTTCAAGACCGACCCTCGAAAAATATAGAGCCTGAAAGAGGAGCCCACTGAACCCAGCCTTATTGATTGCGCTGGGTGGGAGAAGCTTGTTGGGGGGAAAGATGGGGAGAGCAACGTGGTTGAGAGAAATGGAATGGGTATACGATTTTGCCCCTAAAACTTGAGTAAAAATAAAAATTGAACCGGAGGTCCCTTTCTAGGTTCCTCAAGAATAATTTATTCCTCTCAACGGAATGGGTATACGATTTTGCCCCTAAAACTTGAGTAAAATAAAAATTGAACCCGAGGTCCCTTTCTAGGTTCCTCAAGAATAATTTATTCCTTGGAAATTCTTCAGATTCTCCCGCGGGGTTGTGAAATAATGATCCATTTGCAGAGAGAAATAAAGATGGAAAAATTAGCTGTTTGGGAGAAGCTTTCAACACAAGAATTGGCTCTGTCCCCACCTCGCTTCGTCTCCATTTTGTCCCCGTCACTCTCAACCAGATGCGTCTTTTTCTCTCTACTATTTCCGTACTCTCCTTTTTTTTTTTTTTACTTCGTTAACCTGTTGCTATACATAAATATCGAATCAAGATTCCATGCTCTCATGTTCATTAAAATAATAATAATAATAATAATAATAACACCAATCGTTAAAATTATGAGGTTTATCTTTGGCCATTAACCTTAAAAACTGGACTAACAACTCTTATCAACTTTAAGGTTTGGGCAGATAACCCTCCTGAAACTCTAAAAATTGATGCCAAGGTAATTTCTTGGACTGTAAAGCCGTGTGCAAATAAAATTTCTAATAAATTATATTATTTTAGCAAAATAACCGATAAATTAAAAACTGTAGAGTTGTTTGTGTAAAAGTAAAAGTTTAATAGGGTTTATTGTAAAGTTTTAAAAACCAAGGAGAATTGCAGACAACCCGAATCTTAAAGTTTATGTATAATTTAGCCTTTTCTCTCTCTGTTTTTTTTTTTAAAGTAAAACATAAATTTGAAATGATATTTTGATTGTGAACTTGAAAAGTAACGGTATATTAAAGTGAAGTAATAACGACAAGGAGGAGCATCCATGGATGGAGTAGCGTGAAAGTGGAAGACAAGAATAATATTCGCTCGCAGTCCGATTTGGGGAGGCAAGAGAGATGAAAGAATAATATGGAAACCTGAAAGAAGGAAGGAAAGAGAAAGATAAGAGTCACACGTCTTGGGCCCCCCACCCGGAGAATATACACCGAGGAAGAACCCAAAAAACCCAACTCTCAAATTGGCCCAAACATGAGAGAATTAAATTCCACCGATTCTGTCACAGCAGAAAAACAGGAGGAACCAAACGAGACAGCTAAAAGCCATACAAATGGTGTCAGTTTCGTGGCATCGTTTCATTTTGCCAACCTTCTCTTATATCCAACCAACAGCTCTCGCTCTGTAGCCCATCGCCCTCACCCACTTGAAAAATCAAGAAAGTGAATGGTGACTGGTGAGGCTGTGAGAGATCAAGTGGGGATGATGATGTTGTGCAAGTGGTCCAGAACGATTAGGACCAGCGTTCATGATAGAAGGTCCACCCAAACAAGACTACAAGTGTCACTCACTAATCAGTAGTCAGGCTCCCCAGAACCAACCTTAGGGAGTTTAGGATTGATTGCGTTAGATCTACACATCAAAGAGTTCAATTCTAAACATGACTCACATCTTACCCTTCTCTTGCCAATTGAGTCCGTCCAGGTATTATATCATCATATTGCTACTCAATTCAAATATAGAAGATATATCTCTATCTATAAATTACTTTCTTCTATTCCATATTGTGTTTCAAACAAACTCCCAAGAAATTAAACTATCAACTTCCCATCAAAGGCATGCCAGACTAGCATTTGGACACAAAGGGAGAGAAGGGGAAAAAACCAAGTGCTAAACTGCTAATACAATCTCATAAATCTTAAACCCATGCCTTCTAGCCAGGGATAGAGGAGGGGGACCACTAGTAGGATGACCCTCCAAGTTTTTTTTTTTTTTTTAAATATTATATAGCTATTACAGACTCCAATCCTTCAAGATTTATGAAATTCTTGTAATGTACATGCTTCTTAATCTTGGTTCCCTTCTGATTAAATCCCGGCTTAAGCTTGCTACTGGCTTTCTCGTAGCACAGCTTGAGAATCACAAACAAGTACAAGAAGGAAAAAAACAATTCTTCTTCCTCTTTTTTTTGGGGGGGGTGTTTATCATTACAAAGTATAGAAAGACTAAATAAGTCATTCCGTAACAAATACAAGTCTTAGGATTACTATTAACTTTATATTTTAATGCGTTTTGATTTTTAAATAGTCCACAAAACTTTAATCATCCATCCCTTTATTGCGCTGAGGTGGTGGATGTTGAGAGAAATATATCTTTGATTTCTAATTAAGCTGTAACATTTTAGTGACTTCGTTGTAATTTTCTGTTGAAAAAAAAATATTCAGCATTCAGCAACGAGTAGCTTTGAAGATGTGAGTTGTGTCAACATTCTCGCAACCTTCAAGTAAACCAGCTTCTATGCAAAGGGAAGTTGATAGTTTGGATATAGGGATGGATGATACGTTAGGTTTCAGAAATACAACTATTAAAGAGAGCGGTGTTGCTTTCAGAAATACTGCACACAAATAGTTTTCTAGATTTGTCCCTGCCCTTGAAGAACCACAAATAATCTAGGTCCAAGTTACACAGTATTTTCCCGAAGAAAGTCAGCAGTGCATTTTGTACCATTCTAATCGTCGTCTGGCAAGTAATCATCATCTCTCATATATCGAACGAAAGGGCAACCTTTCCATCTCCGTGAACAGTGAACTGTTAACTTTTTAACTTGACTAATGCAGATTGAATTCAAAATTCCCACTAAAATGAGAGGAAAGGAGGGAAGGGACACCGCAGATAAGCTTTCACATTGGTTATCACATCAGCAAATGCCCATCCATGATAAAAACGACTGCTTGAATTATGATATAATATTTTTCATAACTGCTGTTTGGCGTCTAGCTTATTTTCCCATGGAAAAGAAATGCTGGGATAGAACCTCGAGAGCAGATAGGGATCTCAACCCAGCTTCATCCTCAAAACACATTTTACACAAAGATGAGTGAAGAATTGAAACAAGACGATAAATTGCAGACTCAGACAACTTTGTACAAACAAGAGTAAGAGAAATCCCAAATTCAATTGTAGAACCAAATAAAATGGTGAATCAGGAATTTAAAATAGGCCTTTTCTTGTTTGATTATTTCATTATTCTTTTGCTTGTATTATAGTTGACAACCAACAAAATTGGTACCATGTCAAAAAGATTTGTGTTTTCAGAATTCAAAGTTCTCTAAGTAAATGGCATAAGCATGTCTCCAGAAAACCACCCAAATGATTTCCCGGCTGTGATTTTGCAGTTTAGGCAATTATCTATGGTCATAGATACCAACAATTGATATGAATTTGGAACAGGATTTCAGGTACTGTTCTAGGATCCGTTTCCACCAAACTAGCTCCATGATGACAGGTCTGGAGGCAATTCCCTGACAGAAGGGGCTGACATGAGGAAGATGATTTGCAAATTCTGGGACAACGACGATGAGGAAAATTCCAGCAAAGTTATTTACCCCATTAATGTATCTTCTCATAGATAATTTTTTTATGGTCAGAAGACACATCACACAACCACTTCACAAGATCTAAAATTTCAGACTAAGACTAAAATGAAGATATTAAAATCTTTAATCCTTATTAAGAAGGAACAAAAAAGCATCATAAACTACTTCAAGTATCTGCAGTACCATAATCTGATTCAATTAAGCATGAACTGCTTTCACGAGGTCAAGGTTGTCAAAAATCATGATAATTATTTGATGGGCTTGAATTTGAGTTAAATTGATTCGTAACATGGAAACAAAGCTTTGATGAACAAGCAGTCCAGAGATTGACTTTTTTTGCCCCCCATTTTCTCGAGTAAAATTAAATTTCAACACAATATATGAGGAGCTTGTGTTTTGTTCATATTTCAAGCCAAAGCTTCCATGTGAGGTGTATTAGAAATTATTTATGTGCTTATAGCTTCAGCTTTAGAGTTACATTGATACTGAAGAAAGATTAAGATGATGAATCACAACATAAAATTTGCCAAAACTGCAAGCCGAAATGCTACTGCTAAAATTTGACATTGGTTATGGCTGTCACATCGCTGAATGTTATAACATATTATTTATAGGGAGTTATATCTCATCTTCCAGGCAAGGTTCATGTGCACCTTCACACATGGTTAACTGTTCTTTCAAAAGTCAAAACATGCCAATATTGATATCATCATAGGCATTTTCCGAACAAATCAACATATTCTGACTTCTGCATCTTGCATCAAGCCCTCTAATCATAAAATTACTTGATCTGTGATTTGAAACCCCCCCCCCCCCCCAAAAAAAAAAAAAAACCCTCTCTGCATGATCATATTCGCTGATTCAAACATGGAGATAGAAAACAAAAGGTAAAAAAGATGAGGCAGATTCATGTATTATAATATGCTTTTGGTTTAACTAGATGTAACATTTCACGCGTCTAATATATATTTTAAGACTCAAATATAACCAATCCAACCTATAGATTGAAGTTAAATGGAACAGTACAGACATAATCCCATCCATGTACGCGGACACATTCCCTTTTTTCCACCCTAACACATGTATAAACAAAAGTCAACTGAAACTTCGATAGTTAAAAGAGTACCATAAGATGAGGGTAACATGAAAGAGTTTTACTGATATATACAATCCAAGGAAAAGTAAGTTTATTTCATAAAATTTCAAGCATAATGATTCTAGAAGCCTCTAAACCCCAGCTAACTGTCCTCTGATAGCTATTTCTTTAACCATCCTCCATCTTTCATTAGCGAAGAGGAAGGGGAAAGAAATGAACACTCTGATGTATTTTGATCTTGTGACCTTTTGGTCTTAAAGAATCACTTTCTATTCAAAAAGGAAAAAAAAAAAAACCCAGTAACTTGAATAGTTAGTCTTTACATGAGATCAAATGCTAATGATCCACATAACAGTGCCAATTACACATTTCAGAAGGACTACAGACTTTTTCTAGAACTCAAAAAGTGTAGACCGGACATCCTCAAACTTGAAATTGTGAAATAATATTATTCCTGCAGCGATAATCCTACAGGAAGACCTTAATTAGAAAAATTAAAATAACAAAAAGAAGTAATGATGCAATGCGTACTGTTTCAAAGTCAGTGCATACCTGAAGACAACAACAGCAAGAGTCAAAAGATACAAGGCAAACTTGACTATCCGGTATTTCTTCTCGGCATGAACTGCCCTAAACATTTCAGTGACATCAAGAAGATGCTGCTGTTTCGCATACCTGAATCATTAAAATGGCAAAATCATGACAAAAACATGGGAGGTCTTTTCCAAAATCATACACAAAAGTATATTAAACAAAACACACGCACATAATAGTTCATTTGCAAATTAATTAAACTCAGTTATCAATTTAGTTGAACTTTCATTTCTTATATCTAAGCCCAAAACTTGACACATACTCTGGCACATTGCACACATACTGTGACGCAAACGCCATTAAACATTTTATTCGACCACGATCCAACTAAGGATTGAAGAAGCAACTGTTATCACATTCCAGGTTTTCCGCCCTCTAGATGACAATTGTTATAGCCTATGAAACAAGAAGAAAGTCAAACTCTCAATTATCCATAATGATGCCAGAATTGAATAGCAACATCTGGAGCAAGGGCATCAGACCTAATAAGCATAATATTCTTTCAAAAGTTTCAATGGTGTGTGAACGTACATACAGCATCACATGGTAGCCAGTGACAGGAACTGTGACCAAGATCATGAACCAGTGCCCAGTGAGGAGGAAAAGAGCGCAGAGTGCCGCCTGCCCAATAAACTCAGGAACAACGAAGTAATTGACCCGGGAGGAAGCCTCATATGGGTTGACATAGTCAGCCTCCAAGTCTGTTAAGATCAGAATCTTCAGGAGGGAAAGAGAGGAACTTTAAGATTCGTTGAACTTAAAACAGCAGTAATGTGATGTGAATACTCCATATCAATGCGATCGCGTCGGCATTAAATTGACTATGCAAGGATAACAAACTCAAACGACAGTAAGTAATAAAGATATCAGAGAGAAAAAGAAGTACCTGATAACAAGTGGAAGCAAGAAGAGCAAGGTTGAGTGGGAAACAAATTATAAGCCAGAAAAACAAATTCCAACCCATTTCCTGAGGAAGAGAAGATGGTTGCCAGCGGAGGAGGGTTTTCACACAGGGGGGCAGATGTGTGCGTTTTTCCTCCTTCCTTTCGGCCCCAAATGAGGGAGACTATTAGAATGAAGTGTGGACTTTTTATCGGCGAACGGGGCCGAAGCCCATGCAAACGATTTGGTCCTTGATTTTTTATCTCTTGTTTAGTTTATTTTTTGGGCCGAGATCTCTTGCGCAGGCTTTGACGGCATATTGTTTGTATTCCCGTATTTTAAAAATAAAATCGCATTATTTGTCAACTATAGTAAAAGTTTTTGTTTGGAAAAATAACAATTAAGAATTTCATAAAATATTATAAAATAGATATATTAGAATTGTATATTTTGCATAGTTTTTAAGAAATAAACGATATTAGCACAGTTTATTATATGTTTATTAATTTGACTCCCATCTTTTTTTTTTTGGCTAGAGTCCCATTCTTGATTAGAAAATAACGCACCATTACTATTATTAATCTTTTATATTACGTGTTCATGCACACACACATTCTATATCTCTAAGATAAAATTCATAAAAATGATGCCATTCATAAGTAGTGCTCATACAGTCCTACAATATTATTCCTTTTTTATTTTTCCAAGCTTCTTTTGACAATAACATTTGTTTCGTTACAAAAGGAAAAGGATATGAGTATTATTACGGTGAAGATCTATTCAATACATGGATTTGTTACTATTTAATTGGTCACATGTTTTTTTTTTGGCGTTACGTAAAATTTTAAAATGAATTCCATTATTCATGACGTACAAACAAGGTAATTAATCATATATTTTACGGCATATATCAATTTATTGATGTAACACTGATACTAGAAAATGTGCGTCGGCACGTCAAATCCCACGGGGATCATAAAAACGACAGCGTAGCTGCGTTGGATATTGATCCCATCATTGTTTTCCGAAACCTGGACCTAAACGGCAGCGTGTTGCGGTTCGGTGGTGGAACTATGAGGCTGGAAGTGCAAGTCAGGAGCGACAGAACGGAATTGACAGAGTTGGGAGAAGGAGGCGCGACCAGAGGAGTGGCTTCTGTGAGAATCAAAACAAATTTATCAAAATTGCTATCCAAAATCCTGTAACTATTACATTTGGGGGAACTTGGTCCCAAGGTTAGTGTGCTTATTCTTTGCTTCAGCATTTTTTTCGTCGGCGTGTAACTTTTCTCCAGAGTACTTATCCTGATTCACGTGTTTCCCTCTCCAGCTATTTCTTTAGAATTCCCATTAGCTACTCGCTTTTCACATTTATAACATTTGAACAGGTTTATTTCCCTTATAGTTTTCATTTCAGTTCTTCCTTAAATTGCGGGATTCCTTGAAAACCTGTTTCGTTTTTTGTTATGTTGTTATTGTAGGTCCGAGCAATCGCAAGACTCGGTCTGTTAGCTTTTCTCAAATTTATATACCTCTTCATGTATGTTATGGGAGCATTTCGACGGATTAGAATTTAGTATGACCATTCTTTGTACTTCAACTGACATGGCCATTTTATCACAAAATGGAAAACGGGAATGCGAGCAAAGAATATTGAATTTCCCGTCTTTTCTAACTGAAATTACCTTTTTAACCCAAATACTCTTGCTTTACACCAGCATGTTTTGAATTCTGATTTTGAGAGTGCAATTTATATGCGATCTTCGATCCAAGAAAGACCAGAGTCCTGGAGTTCGGTAGCCACTTGGGCTCGTTTGCTACTGGATAAGAGCTTTCTCAACTCATGATATCTTAAATCTTGTCAATAAATTGTATGAAATTTGTTAGGTTCAGCTTGTTACGAGCACAAATTCAAAGGGATAGTCTATTCAAAAGACTAGTCTATTAGATAAGTGAGCCCTTCACACTTGTAACTATAAACCACACTTCACTTGTAAACCTTCTCGATATGCGACTTCTAACATAGTTCTCCTATTGCAACTTAAACATATGATTGCAAATCGACTCAGAAACAGAATTGGAATAGTGAAGTTTCTCTGCATTAGTTGTTATTGTTGAATTGATTTTAAATAGTTAAAATTCATATTCCTAGGAACGTTATTTTGACTAGTTGCTAATTTTTAGAGCTAATTGTGACGCAGGCAATGTAAGCATGAGTGTTTGCTCTCCAGTTTGCTTATCTTCAATAAATGCCGTGGTCCTGAAAGGTCGTGCAAATCTGCTGATTAGCAGCAATACCTGTGGTCTTTTGTCCCAAGGAAAGTCTAGTTCATGTTTTATCCATTTGTCCCCTGGGAATTCTGAGTTACGACATGTTGGTCTTTCTGTTTACACGACACTGTCTTGTCCAACCATTATGGGCCAAACAATCAGGGGAGGTTACTTGGGATCTTGCTTTTCCAAGCAAAGGGACAACATTCAAGTCGTTGGCTCTGTAGGACCTCAGAGGAGGAATCTTGAAATTTCATTGGCTTGCCAAAGTTTGAATATGAGGCTTTTGGTACCTAAACAAAAGCTGCTTCCTAAAGCCAAGTGTGAGGCGGGACCAATAACTTGGCCGCTTGGGTGTGCATCAGCTGGCTTGATTTTTGGATTACTTGTTTGTAATTCAAGTTCCCAAACTGCATATTCTGAGACAGATACAGAGGATAGGAGAAAGGAAGATGACTGCAGCGAGCCATACGTGAAGTTCTCACATGGGAAGAAAGTTTACACTGACTATTCTGTAATTGGTGAGCTGCACATTCTTTCTACTGATAACTTTTTGCATTGTGATAACATAGATATGCATGGTGTAGTTGGTTACATACAGTAATGCAATTGCATATTACATAAATTGCATAAATATATAGAAATAGATAATAGATACAGATATAAAAATTAACTTTCATATATATATTAACTGCATCATAAACTTTCCACATTTTGAAGGAATTCCTGGAGATGGACGATGTTTGTTCTGCTCTGTTGCTCATGGGGCTTGTTTAAGATCTGGTAAAACTTCTCCAAGTGAAAGTCATCAGAGAGAGCTAGCAGACAAGTTACGAAATGAAGTATGTTTTTTGTTGCTTATTTGTGTGGTGGTGTCCTAATAAGCTTAGAATCTCCCTTAGTTCCTCCACCCAAAGAAAAACAACATACAGGATTGAGCACACAGTTAGTCTACATTAATTTGATTTGTTTATATTTCCTGCTGAATAGTTTGTCACGTTTAAATATTATTCCTAAATCAGTGAAAAGTGTTACATGTCTTGACAAAAATGAAAATCGTCTTTCCGTTTAAATCAGAAACCATGCTGTTTGTGTTCTCTTGTTCCATCCTGCTCCCATTAATTCATCAGCTGCCATTATCCCTGATTTTTTTTTTTTTTCATTTTTCTGTTACATTGGTCAGGTTGCTGATGAATTTATCAAAAGAAGGGAAGAGACAGAATGGTAGGCTTTCAAGTTACATATCCATGGATGTTTGTGATTTTAACACTTGGAAGGCCTTTTTGTTAATTCTGAAGACAGATATTTTTCAATCTGTGTTCTCTCTGCAAACGTCACTTATGGATATATGTTCCCAATTAGTGGGGAAAAAAACAGCAGATTGATTGGATCAGATAAGTTATGCATCAACTTCTGGCAGATTAGGTCTGTCTCTAGTCATTTGTTTAAAAAAAAACGTTAAATAATAACTAGAGTAGGTCTTGCGTATTACATGGATTATGAGAAATCAGTTGCAATGGCTCGTGAATAGTGTAGCTTATTAGAATTTTTATAATATACATGGAAATGCCAAATCATTCATGTTTGAAATCATTGATTATTTTCGTTGATTGATGTATCACGAGGATGTCTGTTATGCCTGAATGAGAATGAGAAACTGTGAAACACATACTATTATGATCCCGTGGAATGATTGTTGCTGATGAACTAGGATCCGGTTGTCACATGATATCTGCAGGTTTGTTGAAGGTGATTTCGATACTTATGTTTCCCAAATCCGGAAGCCCCATGTGTGGGGAGGTGAACCTGAACTTTTCATAGCTTCGCATGTTCTGCAGTTAGTGGCCTTCTCTCTTGAACAAGTTATTTAATCTTAATGCATTTGTGTACTTAACAATTTTGGATGTTGAACTAATATGAGGCCAATTCTGCAGGATGCCAATCATAGTGTACATGTACGATGATGATGCTGGGGGCTTGATATCTATTGCTGAGTATGGCCAAGAATATGGTAAAGAAAACCCGATCAGAGTTCTCTACCATGGCTTTGGCCATTATGATGCATTAGAGATTCCTGGAAAGAATGGTCTTAAGTCAAGACTCTAGCAATTTACATGCTCGTCGCAAATCTAAATGAGATGAGCATATCTACTGTACACTTAACAGTACAACAAGGTCAATTGTTTATTTTAGTTAAAACTTGAAAGAATCAATATGGTGATAACTTTGTTTTCGTAACTAGAACAAAAACAAGAACAAGAACAAGAACACTGCTTCCTTAATCTCCTGGCAAACAATTCCGCGTGCACCTTTCTGCTTCCTGGACGGTGGTGGCTTAGAGAATGTAATGTTGTATAGCGAGTTCGGGCTAGGCCTAAGGATGGCTTCAACTATATTACATGCAATGACAAAAGTTAGCGAAATGGCCGCAGTTTAACCCAAAAATAAATTGCTACAAAGAAACACTTCGTATAAGATGATGGTTTAAGCTCCTGCTAGAATATATGATAAAGATTTTAAATTTCTAGGACTTCCTTACGGTGATCCCTTTGGTGTCCTGTGGGTTATATGGCCCCTGGAAGTTATGGTATGCACTCTGGTTTCGTGGCAATCTGCTTAGTAGTGCTGAACGCACATGGCTGCCTCATACCTTTTTATTTTTACTCATTTATTTATTTTTGAGTGGAGGCTGGTTCATGCTTTTTAGAAAATGGACTTTTGAGGTGGGCCATGCAAGCTTCAAAGTGCTTAAAATTATTGTTGGTTGGCCTTTCGGTTAAAGTTAGAACGGTGGAGGGTAGGAATGAAAGGTGGCCCTAGTTTTGTTCCCTGTTCTCTTCACCCTTCTTTTCTTCCTTTTACTGTTCCATTGTCCTTTCACTTACCCCGTTGGCTTCTAATGGACCTTCCACTTTGAATTTCTTGTGATCGAATATTATTAAATTGTAAGATCTGTGACAGTGCTAACAAATAGTAATAGCTACTGGGGAGAAAAAAAGTCACGACTTGTGATGATATTGATGATTCTGTTACCTAAACTCCAGCAAACAATAATAAGGGTTTGGAAAGCCTTGGATCCAAATGGGGCATGGATCATGAGCGAATTAGGTGGTACTTTGATTAAATTAAGATTGAAATCATGTTTACATAACTTTGTCAAATGAACAGTGGTATTCGATAGTGAGGCTTTGTAGTTCGAGCTAGGCTACATTTGGATTTTTCCCCCTCCTGGCCTCATAGGAAGCACTGGGATTCTAGTCTAGAAATTGTGCAAGGGATCAAGCAGAGCACGTGACTCAGAGAAAATTCTTCCCATTTGGATGAAAGAAGCAGTCGCTGGATCCGTGAAACTTGTTTTAATTTTTTGGGTCTGAGGAGGAAGCAGTGTTGTTTAGTGGCAAAACTGAGAAGTAAGAAGAGAGTCACGAGCATGTTGTCCTTGTTATATGATTTTCTGACACCACGCGCTGTATAAACAATTTTTTAAAAATCGCTAGAAACAAAACAAGTAGCCCCTATTTGGACGACTCAGTCCATTTATATCTCCATCTGATGCCGCAGATAACGGATTTTTGTCAATTATTTCTTGGTCCCTTTTTGCCTTCAAATTAATAATTCTTGGACCTTTTTTTATGGGCAAAACAATTAATTATTTTTTAATAAACAATAAAGTATTTTTCTTTCCAAAACTATTATGCGTCTCAGCCCCATAAAGTGGCAAGTGTTTTTACATTGTATAGTGCATGAAGGGAAATTTTCATCTCGATCTTGTTAAAATGTAGATTTTTTAATAAAAATTTCATAGGTTCTTATTGAATTATTTGAGATACTCCGTAATAACAATAGTATTTATTATTTTGCAATGCTTTTATAGAAAACCGACGTCATATTTAATACAATACCGAGTATGAAATATAAAATCCTTGTAAAATAAATAAATAAAATAATATAATATAGGAATTTTTTTGGAAAAATGCTTGGTAATTAATTATGCCGCTCGTTAGTTGAATAAGGATTGTTGTTATTTTTGGATAAAAGTAAAATAAAGAATTACTCATTTGATCTTTGAAATTTTGACTTCATTCTAACTGAATCTTTAAACTTTAATCCATTATAACTTAATGTTTTATAATTTTAATCATTTAAAATATTAATTCTTATATTTAAAAAAATAAATTATAAAGATTACAATTTTGGACTAATATTTTAAATTATCAAACCCTTTTAATCTTTATAAAGATTACAATTTTAAAGTATTTTTAATTTTTTAATTTTATTTTTTAAAATATAGAGATTAATATTTGAATGATTAAAACTATGCAGATTGAAAAAAAAAGTGTTGTCAAGGGGAAAAATTAAGGAATTGAGTTGCAAAATTATAAGAATCAAATTACAACGAGTCAAAATTTATAAATTGAATTATAACTTAATCAAAATTAAAAATATCAAATAATTAATTTTTTAAATAAAACAAAGAAAAGTAGAACAAAATCAATATCAATATAAAATTTATATTAAATCACACAATTTACAGATTACAAATAAGTTACTTATTGCCTCCATATCTAGCTTACTCCACACTACCTGTGCCCCTTCTATAAAAATTATTTTAAATATTACCAAAAAAATTATTTTATAAAATTCCAATCCTTTGTTAACCATTTTTTAAACAAAAATTTAGATAAGTTAGATTTCCAAACTCATTAGTATTGTTAGAGCATGATTTTAAATTTAAAGAACATTTACAGAAATATTTATATATTGCTTATCAACAATGATCTTATATTAGCAGCAAGATTTTATCTTACAATTCCTAAATTGTGGATTAAATATTATCGAACTGGACGAATCTTAATTAGTTATTTGTCAACCATATATTTTACCCCGCTGGAACAAAAACAAAAACAAAAAAACAAAAACCCTTTGTTTTACCTGGGCCTGGGAGGGAGGGAGGGGGAAAGAGAAAGCGAGCGAGCGAGCTACAGTGGCTCCTGGACGTATCTGCATGTTCGGTGAGGCATGAAACGTGGGCTATTTTTTTTAAAAAAAATTATAATACTTACTTTCCTTCATAAATTATTAAATTAATTATAATATTTTATTTCAAATAAAATATTTAAATTATAATTAAAAAATAAAAAATATTATATAATTTATTTATATTTAAAAATTATATTTCTATATTTTTATCGTATTAATATTGATATAGTTGATAAAAAAATTTATAAATAAAATGAGAATATTTACTTATTTTAATATTTATAAATAATAATAATAATAAGTAAAAAGCCCATAGTCAGGAAAATTCAAACTGTCATGGAATTACCACCTCGAAAACATCCCTGCGACAGAATTCAAATGCCAAGCCATCCTCTTCACCTTGGACTCCACACTCTGCAACCTGTGACCCCTTCGTTCTAAACATGCGTTGCAAATGATCCGTTAACATTCCCAGCTTCTGTTTTTTAATCGCCACTTGAAGAATGGAAATGCATCTCCCTCTCCCCATAGCTTCCATTCTCCTTTGCTTCTTAGCTCCCTTCGCCTCCTCATTGAACTCCGATGGTCTCTCTCTGCTCGCCCTCAAAGCCGCCATCGAGTCCGACCCTTCCGGAGTTCTCAACTCGTGGTCCGACTCTGACTCCACCCCATGTCACTGGCCCGGGGTCGTCTGTGCCCATGATCGAGTCACCCATCTTGCCCTGCCCAACAAAGGCCTGACTGGTTACATCCCATCTGAGCTCGGCTTGCTCGACTCGCTCACACAACTTGGTCTTTCGCACAATAACTTCTCCAACGCCATTCCTTCTCGTCTGTTCAACGCGACCGGCCTGGTCGTTTTAGACCTCTCTCATAATTTCCTCTCTGGTCCCATTCCAACTGAGATCGGGTATCTCAAATCACTCAGACATTTGGATTTATCCTCAAATTCCCTTAATGGCTCGCTCCCTGAAGTTCTATCCGAGTTCACTAACCTCGTTGGAACCTTGAATCTCTCGTACAATCACTTCTCTGGTGGGATCCCGGAGTCATTAGGGCGACTCCCTGTGATAGTCAGTTTGGATCTCCAGAACAACAATCTGACAGGCAAAATCCCTCAAGTAGGTTCGTTGCTAAACCAGGGTCCTACTGCTTTCTCCGGCAACCCCGGTCTCTGTGGGTTCCCTTTGCAGAATGCGTGCCCTGAAGCTCAAAATCCCGAGAATTACGCAAGCACCGAAGACCCTGAAAACCCAAACACCGTTAACCCTGGCTTTCCAACAGGATATCAAGAAGCGAAGGCGAAAGTGAGAGGTCGTTCCGTCCTTGTCCCCTTAGTTTTCGGCGTCTCGTTGGTGGTAGCGGCTGTTTCTTTGTCTGTGTGGTTGCTGCGCAGACGACGGACGGTTGATTTGAGCAAGTTGGGGAAGCAAAAATTAGACAATGAAGCCGATGAGGAAGGGGCGAAGGGCAAAAGGGTAAATTCGTGATCGTAGACGAAGGGTTTAATCTGGAATTAGAGGATTTATTAAGGGCGTCCGCATATGTGGTGGGGAAGAGTAAGAGTGGGATTGTTTATAAGGTGGTGGCTCCTGGGAAGGGGTCGGGCGCGGTGGCGACTGTGGTTGCCGTCCGGCGGTTAAGTGAGGGTGATGCCACGTGGAAGTTCAAGGAATTCGAGGCTGAGGTGGAGACCATTGGAAGGGTCAACCACCCTAACATTGTCCGCTTAAGAGCATATTACTATGCAGTTGATGAAAAATTAATCATCACTGATTTCATCCGCAATGGAAGCTTGCACACTGCTCTTCATGGTATTAAATTTCTCAGCCGTTGTTTCTTTATTTTTAATAACGCTGGTTCTCTCTTCATTGAATTATCAAACTATTTTCGGCCAATTATTATCTTGCCATACAGTTATTGGAAATTATAACCAAAATTTAAAATTTGGGCAACTCTTGTGCAAATTGTTCAGTATCACTGTTTCGTCATGTTTTAGGCCAATGTATACGTGCTATATCTAATATGTCTATATGAGTGGAGTACTGAAGTGAGACCATTGTTAAGGCAATAGGTGTATTTCGCTTCTTTTTTGTTGCACTAGATTAAACGTTCTGGGATGTTCAGTAGTATATGGAGCCTAATGATTGTTCACTGTTGGTTTGGTTTTGCTACTCATCAGGATTCATGATGGTCACACCATGAGGTCAAATGGTTAATCATGAATTCAAAT